TTTTGCTTCGAGGCTTTCTATAGGTAGTCTGCTTAGACCCATTCGATGGTTCGCTCACCATACATGCAGACCCGCCAAAATCTCGGTCCTCCAATGGCAAATCGAACATAGGTGCCTACCAACCAATGATTGGTTGATAGACCACACACGTTTGGAACAGCAAGGGAAAGCACTAACCTGGTGTCACAAATGCTGTCAGAGCTTCCCTGGGACGAAGCGGGCGGAGACTATAGAACATATTTTTCTCCAATGCCCTGCATCAGTGCTAATGTGGAGAAGCTGGGATAGAATTTGGCGCCACATTGTTCCCAGTGAGACGTGGCCATGGGATTGGAGGGCCATACTCTTTGGACACTACCCCCCAATCCGGGGAAACACATTTGTAGAAAATATGTTGAGACTGGGCAGGCGGAGTGTCTTATGGACCATATGGTGGAAGCGATGTATCTTGGAGATAGAGGGGGCGCAGGTGGAGGACGGAGAAGCCATGGAACAAGTACGAACATTGGTCCAATTTGAAATTGAAACACAATGGAAGGCAGTTAAAGACAAGCTCGACCAGTCATATACCTGGGGGTACATGAACAAGACCATCTCCCACTTTAGTAAGGACTGGCTGGGGGGGGGTAGGGAAGGCTGGGTGGCAGAGATGAAGTGGTCCGGATTCAACCAGAGGGAAGAACCCCGGGAGGGAATGGCAAGGGACTACCGGCTGATTTTCCACGATTGGACCAAAATCGATCCGGGCGTCCCATTACGGCCAGCCCAGGACTTCGCAGATCCCTTCCCCCCCCACCCGTTGTCCTTGGTGGAAGTACTGCCAACGGCATGAACCGGGACGACAGGACGACAGGACGACAGTACACATAATTCGGATACATTCGGATACATTCCCTCTGTATTCTATTCATTCAGTTCATTCAGTCCATTCAGTTCATTTAGTTCTTTCAGTTCAGAGCAGTTTCCGTTTCTTTTCTGTTTCCTTTCTGCTTCTTTTCAGTCTCTTTTCAGATTCACCTTCAGCCACTTTCAGACCATTTTAGATCACCACCCTCAGAAGGTTTAGGAAGGTTCAGGAAGGTTCTGGAAGGTTCAGAAGGCTCAGAAGGTTCAGAAAGGTTCGGAAAGGTTCAGAAAGGTTCAGAAAGGTTCAGAAAGGATCAGAAACAGTCAGAAAGGTTCAGATAGGTTCAGAAAGATTCAGAAAGGATTCAGAATGGTTCAGAATAGGTTTAGAAAGGTTCAGAAATGCTCAGAAGGATAAGAAGGATAAGTAGGGCTCAGGAAGGCTCAAGAGATAGGGTGAGATAGCATGATAGCATGACCAGAAAGGTGGGCTGAGGAACAGACAGGAACTGCTGGTGGCCCCCAGCAGCCCTGCTGGGCATCGCTGGGATGCTGGACCCGTTTTCCAGCTGGAAGGTGGACTAGGGAACAGGCAGGGACCACTGGGGCCCTCTAGTGGCCCTGCTGGGCCCCAGGCCAAGGGGTTGTTTGAGTAGGATAGGATACATAGCAATGGGACTCTGGACCCGGTTTCCAGCATGCTATCACACGATGCCTCATGTTTATTTCTTCAAATGCAAGGGACGCTGGACCCGGTTTCCAGCAGGTGATGCTCCCCACCCATAGATGGAGCCTGCCTGGGGGTGCTAGCCGTGTCTGTTCATATCAGCACTCCTAGCACCATCCAGGGCGAGTGTTAAAAAAAAAAAAAAGAAAAAAAAAAAAAGGTTTTCCTTAGTTTTATTTGCCGTAGGTTTTTCATGTTGAAATGAGCTCTGGTGTTTCTGTTTTGTTTTTTGAGTTTTTATGGTAGCTGAGTGCTATTAGAAATGCTGTTGTTATTAGGAATTCGTTTATTGAGTAACGTTTTTGCTTCGTGGTTTCCTATAGGTTCTCTTTCGTTTTATTCGTCATAGGTTTTCCGTGATATGATTTTCGGTGTTTTGCTATTTCTTTGAGTTTTTACGGCACTTAGGTGGTATTAGGAATTAGTTTTGTTGAGTAGTGCTTTTGCTTTCTGGTTTTCTACAGGGGAATGGCTCGGGATGCGGAGTGCACCCGAGGCCGGTTGCCCTCTGTTATTTTCATCTTATTCTCCGCTATGTTGATGTAAGCCTTGGGCACTGGGCCCCTTCGAAATAAAATTTCCATCGAGTAAAAAAAAAAAAAAAAAAAAAAAAAAAAGAGAAAAAGAACTGCGACACGGGCGAGGGTCCCCATGAGCAAAGAGGGTTGGACGGCACTTACGAAGACAGGCGGGGTTCGACTATCAAATTCAAAGAAGATTACTTTGGATCACTTGCTTGAATCTGGATAGGTTTTACGCAGAGATGCAGGAAAGCAGATCAATCCAAAATTTCTGCTGCTCCCTACATCTACGTCCAGATTCAGACGTTAAATTCAGTCCTCTGTGCTAGTTGGGACCTAGCGCCCACTCTTCCCGCACATGTAGAATGTGATTGTGCAATGATCCTCCCCTCTCTC